ATCACAGATAATTTTTGAAAAAGAAAATGTTAAAAAAAACAAAAAAATAAAAGTTTTTTTTTAATAAATTATAAAAAAAATTTTTAAATTATATAAAAAAAAAAAAAAAAAAAAGCAATCATATCAACCACCGAACACACCTACTCAGATGTAATAAATAGATTCTTGTACTGAGAGCTATTAATAAAGTCTCAAAAATTTTTTTGCTAACTCCTTAAAAACAAGCATTTGTGTTTACGTATCATTACACATGATCCTGATCAAAAATTATAAGGGCGACCAATTTTTTGTAGGAACGCTACCTAAAATTATAAAAATAGTCGGTTCAAATTTTTTTTAATTCTAATATATTCTGAATACGGTTAGTTTGAAGTTATAAAAATTATTGACACGTTTAATAATTATATGATCTTTTAAATTGTTATACAACAAAACACAATGCGACATAACGTAATAAGATAAAAAATTAATTAATGATACCAAACTTTGCGAGAACTTCCACAGCATTAAAACAATATTTTTTGTGTTCATATTTACTAGTTCTAGATCCTTAATATTTCATACTTTGATTGAAAAAAAACAATTAATACAGTATTTATTCTACTTTGTAACACAATCTCTATTGTTCAGAGACACAAATTCCGTCATAATTTAGTAAATATGAGTATACGTATTGTACGTATTAATTCAATTATTTTTTAAACCATTAATGAGGGCTTATTCTATTTTGAAAAAAAATAATAAATTATTTAACAAATTGTCATTCATAATAAGTTTGAATATTTGAAAATTAAGGATCTAAATGATATCGATATCAATTATGCTAAATAATGTTCAACAAATTGGGATTTGAATTTGATAGCGCTATGATCGCTCGGAAGTACGATGCATAATGTATATATTATGTAATTTACTCTAGTCATATAATGTCTCGAATTACTAATTATATAGTGTAACGAGCTACATGACTTATGGGGTGAGAAAACTTCATGATGATGAAGTCTATATTTAAATCAAACATCGGAATTTTCTTTTCCCATGCCCCTTGGTATTTTGAATTGTTTGTTGGACACCAAAATGATCCAACACCTCGGCGAATCATACCTTGATAATACCTTGTATAACACTGATAAATCTTGAAATGTCATGCGTACGTAACTATTTCAGGTGTACAATTACCTGGTTACTAACATTTGATTTCCGTGGTTTAAAATATTGACATTGCGTAACAAAAAAAAATCGTCACTCGACTTGAATTCTAGAACAGCAAGAATTTCTTATCGCTTTGTATCTTTTTAACTTCCCTACCTAGTCAATCCGATCCTTATTGTTAATCTGATACTCAAGTTTTTAATTACTGAAAATAGGATAAACTTGATCTGACACTTGTAATTAGTGTTAGGTTTTGCGCCATAATAAACTTTACTTTATTAACAAGTTTTAACAACTTGATAAATTATTGTGACATCATAATACATTTAAATTATATAGCGATAAATATTTAGGTTACGTATAACCGTTAACAATGCAGCAATGTTCGGAATGATTATTTTTAAGTTCCCGCCTTTCTAGACTCAGCCTAAACTTAATTATTTGTTCCATCTAATATATATATTATATATATATGTATATATATAATATATATATATATATATATAATATATATAAACCGATATATATTATTCGTGTAATTTTATATTTTATCGACCAATTTTATTTTTTTAAACTTTTTTTTTTTTTTCTTTGAAACTTATCGTTATGCATATTATTATTGTTAGCAAGTTATTGATCCCGTTGTTGATGATGGCTAATTATTCATTACACTAGGCACTACAATGTGACTTTGTCTACCATCGCTATGACGTAAATTCACAGTGAATAACAGATAAATCAATACTATCAGAGCATTGTGACCCATAACATAATCTATTCTTGCCATTTTGTGGGGCTATTTTTTTCTAGTTCCGATAAAAATTTTTCGTACGATATCACTTTGTACGATAATGGTTAAATACTTGTATCATAAGAACAATAAATAATATTGATCAAAGAAATATTTCTTAGGAATTTAAAACGTGTATTTTTTACACATTTTTATTAGTTAAAAAAATTGTAATAATATAAGAAATTTATTTATGTATAATTATATACGTAATATATACTCATATGCGTACTGTACGTACGCGTTTTTATAATAATATATAATCAGACGATCATTATCGTTATATATAAATATGTAATGAGAAAAGGATAGTGCCTTAAAATTTTTTTGCCTAATTCTGCTTTCGGACAAATAGACGTTCATATAAATATCTTAATGTAAGCATACGTCTTTTTTTTAAAAAAAAAACAAACGCGATAAATAATTCTATTAACCTCTCTTTAAAAAAATTAATCGTACAGAGAATGGTGTCTGATATATCTATTCAAAACATTGAATGTTTTGAATGTGGAAATTTATGTAGATGGTGTTCAATATGTGAAATTAAAGCTTTAGTTCGAAATTTTCTTAGATGGACAAGTGGTAACTTAATGATTGATCAAATGATTCAAAATACACAACGTCATGCAAGCGATGACATAGGTTACCTCGAGTGGATTCCGTTTGAAAGTATTGAATTTGTAGAATATCGAGCAAGAGGCGCTTTTAGTATCGTTTATAGTGGATCATGGATAGAAGGTCCACGGAATTGGGATGAAGAAAATGGTGATTGGTCTAGAAATGGTCCAACAAAATGTGCATTAAGAAGTATAGAAAATTCTGATAAAATGAATCAAGAGTATTTAGACAATGTAAGTTTCTTATAAGTCATAAAAAAAAAAAAAACATTAAATATTTATTTAATGCTATTCTTATTCTTTTTGTATAGATTATGAGATATCATAAATGTCTTCAAGGAAAATTTGTTGTTGATTGCTTTGGAGTTACACGTGATCCAACTACCGGTTGTTACATGTTCGTAATGAAGTTTTTTGAAGAAAATTTATACCAATACATTGAAAGAGTCAAGAGACATCTTCTCTGGGAAGATATTATTGGAATTCTTTGTGAAATTATTGATGGTCTTAAACGAATTCATGATAATGGACTTTATCACGGTAATCTTCACGGCGGAAACTTGTTAATTGAAAATGGACCTGAAAGTGTCGGTGTAAGAATTTCTGATATCGGATTACATGGACCAGCCAACAAAACAGCTTCTGTAATTCATGGCGTTTTACCATACGTAGCTCCAGAAGTATTAACAGGTAAAGAATATTCCCAAGCCTCAGATATTTATAGCTTTGGAATAATTATGTGGACATTATCTACATGTATGCGTGCTTTTTACCAAGATTCACATGACCTTGACCTTGCTATAAATATATGTAATGGATCGCGTCCAGAAATTAATAATAAGACACCAAAGGCATATTTAACATTAATGAAACGATGCTGGCATCATGAACCGAGTGAACGCCCGAAAACTGCAGAATTAAGCAATATTTTACATAATAATCCCATCCAGAATTTGTTAAATACTGCCAATAACGATAGAGTTATATCTGAATATACTATATTAAATGATCAAATTGTCCATCCTAACGCAATTTACAATAGTCATTTATTAGATTTTTTACCTTTACATGATAATGTTTAATATTTCATAAAATTGGCAAAATTTTTATTATCATTATGCATATTTTATGGCGATATCTATTGACGATGGCAAAATCCTATGGCGAAATTTTATGGCAAAACTTTATATGTAAATTTATGTAATATAATAAATAAAACAGTTAAGCATAGATATTTTATAACCATTACTTAAATTTTTACAGAAGGTGACTAGAATGATTGAAGTAATCTGTTACAAAATGTGTGTAATATTTGTCTTTATATGATCAAAAAAAAAACTTTAAAATAGTTGCTGTACTTTATTCAATTCGTAAAATATCGGGTTGTAAAATAATCAAAAAAATTAAAATTTAAAATTTTTAAATGTGTAAAAAAAAAAAAAAAAAGATCGTTATTTTCTTGACAGTAATACTTTGATCTTTGAAAAGGAGTAGCGTTGTACGAAGAAAATCTTTGTTTATTGAAGGAAATGCTTGTTTAACAAAAATTTATTTCTTGAAAAATTTTAATATGTAACTTACCTTAACGTTAAAGTTCTAACCTTAACTCTAACTTTATTTTGTTTCTAGTCATAAATAAAAACAAAGATGTATTGTAGTGCATAGTGCTCAAAATTATAATTTTTTTCAATGATCTTATGTTTACAAATATAGGTTTAATGCGATCAAATTTTTTATACTTTTTTTTTTAATGTTTAATAAAATTCGAATAGATCCAGTTTTAACTTTAATGAGTTAGTTGTAATATTTTTTAGGTAGTTTTCCAAGGTATCGTATCGGTTATCTACCACACATAAACACTATCCCCAGTCTAATTAAAATTTGAAGCGGTTTATTAATTTAAACTTTTAAATTTCGTAACTACTACCGTTACTACTGTACTGTAAATAAGTACCATATATATTTTTAACCGCCAAGATATCAGATATAAAAAACGCGGGTACGTACGTACGTGCTTATCAGTTATGGTATATCTGTATACTGGTTGAGTACAATGATTCCTTAAAAATTTATTGGTATCGCTTTGCATACTTGTTGCAACCCTTAATCGAACATTATACATTTTGGAAAAATGAACTCCAAATACTGAATTATTAAAATTGATATCTACAAAAAAATTTTTCTTTCTTTTTTTTTAACACAGTATAAAAAAAAAGGTTACCTGCTAAAACCGAATATATTCATATTTGTATGTATGCCATTTTCCCGAATTCGCCGATAATTATTTCACCGATTTTTAATTCTAATCAGTGTTAACTTTAAATAGGCTAGCCCAAACTCTAACCTTAACTGTAAGGAAAACGGTCAGTGTTGGCAATTTTTTACTGGCCAAGCTTTGGCCGGTGTTACTATCGAGGAGTGTTCTGCTTAGGGTTGAAAATTACATAAATTATATTTACGTTACAAATAAATAAAATTGTAATGTAATATTACATTTAATAGTAGATTAAGTATAAGATGTTGGGCGTACGATGAAAAATAACAAGGAATTTTTTTTTCATCGGAATTAATGTCACTCCCATGTGCTGCGTAGCAGCACATGAGTGACATTAACTCCGATGAGAAAAATTTCTTGTTATTTTCGTATGTCCAATATTGATGTTATTGTTCATATTATATTAGCATGTGAAATTTTTTGTCGCGACATTTTGCATAAATGATGATGTCATTTTATGACAATAATATCGAGGCAAAAAGTTTTTACATGATCATATCACAGGAACAATAACACATGATTATTTTACCAAAATTATGAAAGTTTAGTCAGCGATATATATACACTATAATTTATTAAAAAATACATCGGGTACATGAATTTTGGCTAACGTTACTCACATGATATCAAAATTTTGGATTCAGAAAACTTGCACGAAGTTACGTAAAATTACCAAAATTACAACCCTAGTTATTCTTTACACTAAGTCAGTTTAGCTCTGATTAAACGAAAATAGAATGTATTAACAGAGTGATATGTACACGAATAGAAATACGTGATGAGTAGTAATGACAACATGTAGAAAGCACTCAGCAAATATAATAACAGATATGAATCGCACAGAAGTCTTAATTCATAAATGAGAGCGTAATTTAACCTTCAACCAAGGCGAATGGGAAGATATTATATACATATTAAAGTCCCGCAACCCAGGGATAACAAATGTTTTAAAACATGATCTTAATAATCATGATTGTTTGATTTAAATCTGTTAAAAAAACTTTAAAACAATGCCTCATGTTCGTGGAAAACCCCGTTAAAAGAAATCCGCTTAAACATTACAAAAGTTGCTAAATCTGATAAACATGATCGAACAAAGATGCAATTATTGCGAAGAAGACTGTGTTGATTTAGTTGACCGATTAAAAGGTCATTTATTAAAATGTAAAAAACTCTCAAGAAATGTATTAGATGTATAATATTTATTAATTCTTCAAATATAGTAATTCATTCACAAAAACTTATTCAATGAGGTTTACATAGAATGAAAGGTATAAGAAATTTCGCAATTAAAAATGTAATAGCTTTGATAAAAATTAAAGCATCAAATACAGTATATTAATTTTTTTTTATTTTTTTTTATTTTTTTTGTAATATCTAAAAAATTCAAAATTATATAGCACCATCTTTTTTAAAAAAATTTCGCGGCTGAAATTAAAATTAACTAATCAGCAAAATTTTTGCATCAGACGTAAAGTTTTAAAACAATACTTACAGCTCCTACAACCTCTTTCCTTAACACCGATAGGTCCTTACTTCCCAAACACAATAACAGTTACGCGACTTCCTCCCCAAATATTGACTCACCACAATAACCTCGCGACCCGTGGCTAAATTAAGAAATACGACGATGGTATATTAATTACTAAAATAGGGATCTGTCAATCAACCGGTTAAAGAATATTCCAGGGTACGGTCACAAGTGGATAAAATAAACAGCCCTAGCATCGCCCACAAAAATATATTAAAAAAAAATGTAGCTATGTCATAATTAATCTCAAAATCAAATAACGATTAACCATAGCTGCCGCGTCACGGCAAATCCTCGATTTTGATTGGCTAACGGCCGCGGATCTTCAATTCTGGCCCGCATTACATAATTGTTTACTAATTTCCGGCCGGAATTAACTTCTTGACCTTTTCATTACAAAAATAGAAATCTTTATAAAATAAACCGCATTATGGTAAAATTGGCCCAGAAACAATTTTCACTTAATAGGCGGCTGCGATTTCATTAGTAAAATTATGAGTAATTCCAGCCTAATTTTTTGATCGTCGCTCTTAGCCAATCAAAATCGAGAATCTGCCAT